TCGCGTTGTCGTCATCGCGTTGTGGTCGTTGCGTTGTCGTCGTTGCGTGTCGTGGACGTCGTTGTTGCCGTGGACGTCGTTGTTGTCGTTGTCATCGTGCCGTGGGGGGCTTGTTTGGTTTGTGACGTGGCGTTGCGGCGTTTGCGTGGTCGTCGTGGTTAGCGCTCGTGGATGGTGGTGGGTGCTCGTGGATAGTGGTCGTGTTGTTGTTGTCGTCCGTTTGGCTGCCACGTCACTGGTGGTGGTCGTCGCCGTTCGTTGCTGGGTGGTCGTCGCCGTCGTGGGGTCATGTGGGGTCGTCATCGTCGTCGTCGTCGTCGTCGTCGTGGGTGGCGTGGCGTGGCGTTGTCGGTTTGTCGTGGCTGTCGTGGGGGTGGGGGAGAGGATGGTTGTTGGTGGTGGAAAGGAATGGTGTTGCATTTGTTTGGTAACGTTGCCTTTGTTTGGTAACAGAAGTAAAACAAACAAACAATTGACCGGATTCCGTTGCATTCTGTTCCTGCCATTCCTGCGGAACATTCCGGTGTCAATTCCGGAATGCCGAAATTCCGCCGGAATGGTAAGGCACCGGAATTATGAAAATAGCAGGCCTCCCTGCCAAATTTCATTCCTCCGGAATCCACCGGAATCCGCAGGAATGACCGGATTCCTGCAGGAATTAGGGGGGCACTGATAAGACCTCGGACCTAACCACAACACTAACCTAACCGCGGTTAGGGTTAGTTGATTTCGAAAATGGAATAACCGGTTATAACCAGCCCTATTATACACCTTCAAAACGCACTTGAGAACGTCGAAAACGCTTAAAATTTGACTAAGTTACAGTCAAATCTCTAAAATATCACTCAAATGTGTAGACTTTCAAGGATAATTGCATAAATATGTCAATTCTTCACCGATTTTAGCGTTCTTGGGCTCGTTTTAAAGCTAGAATATGCAGAAATAATATCTATCAAGATATATATGAGCATATTTGCCTTGCTATAACCGATTCTTTATTTTTCGGTCCTAACCAGTTAGTAACTGCAAATAACTGACCGTAACCGGTTAGTTGCGGTCCGGTTAGGTTATTTTAGGTTTCGGGACAAAGGCTAACCGGTCTCGGTCTTGGTTAGAGCCCCTGGGCACCCAATAACCAGACCTAACCGGACTTTCAAACACTAAAGGTAGCCCACAACGGAAGTACGTCATTTTCAGATATTTCCAAATTGTCACGTTTCCTGTGTCCTCTTCTGCAAAGACTCTCCCTTCTACTTTTGCCATCCGCTTGTCGTCATCTTGGCCAGTCCAAATGCTTTGAGTGTGTTGTTACAAGTTCTCTGAGTTTACAAAGAGAATGCATATTAGGTTTGGGCTAGCCAAGACCATGCTGAGGCCAACAGTCAATAACAGGACACGTATTCTCTCTAAAGAATACACATTCTAGTTCATTGGGTTTGGACTGGCCAAGGCTACAATGAAGGCACCAGTTAACAGGACACATATACAGGTGCAACTTGAGAAACACTATTTGCGGTGGATTGGATAAGGTTGTATGGTGAGGATACATG